ATTGCAGGGTACGGCCCTGTCAGACACGAGGCATTGCCAGAGTTGGCAGGCACGACGCCGCCTGGCCAGAGACGTGGGTGTAGTCTCCAGATCTGGCAGGTACGGTTGTCAGGTAGAAAATCTTCTTGCGATACGCCAAGCTATGCCGAGCTACCTGTGGCGAGCTATGCCGAGCTACCTGTGGAGAGCTATGCCGAGCTGCCTGTGGCGAGCTATGCCGAGCTACCTGTGGAGAGCTATGCCGATCTGCCTGTGGCGAGTTACTTGTAAGTGGCTAGTTGCCTGTGGCAAGCTATGCCGACCTACCTGTGGCGAGCCATGCCAAGCTACCTGTAAGTGGTGAGCTGCCTGTGGTGAGCTATGCCGAGCTATTTGTAAGTGGCAAGCTACCTATGGCAAGCTCTGTCGAGCTGCCTGTGACGAGCTATAACGAGGTGTTTGTAAGTGGCAAGCTGCCTGTGGCAAGTTTTGCCGAGCTGCCTGTGGCGAGCTCTGCTGAGCTACCTGTGGCGAGCTATGCCGAGCTACCTATGGCGAGCCATGCCGAGCTGCCTGTAACTAGCTCGAGCTGTCTAGTTGTCAAGAGGCTGCACTTAGTTGGCATGAGGTGCCAGGTGTCACAATTTCACTAGAGGGCCAAATCTGCCCTCATTATTTGGCCCCCTCTCCCGAGCTGAGAGTAACTTGGCGAAGGGAGAAGATTTCTCCTTTTGGCCCGTAAGTCGATGAGCTAGTAAGCGCTGCTCTAATTTCTTAGGCTTTGGGAGCTGCTTGTAAGTGGCGAGCTGCTCTAATCGTCGACCCAAAAATTGGTGGCCAAAATGGTTCCATTTTTGGGTTGTATGAGTCACACACTCGAATGACATAACATGTATGATAGACCTCACACACTCAATTTTTTGCCTGTAATCTTTGTTGTCAGAACGGACAGTCCGTTCAAACCAAACGATCGAACCGCTGACCTAAAAATTGGTGGCCAGAACGGTTCCGCTTTCGGGTCATATGAGTCACACGCTCAAATGACATAACACGTATGATACTACTTAATGGACCTCCCAAACTCAATTTTTTGCTTATAATTTTTGTTATCAAAATGGACTATCCGTTCGAACCAGATGATCGAACCGTCGACCCAAAAACTGGTGGTCAGAATGGTTCCGTAATTTTTTACTTGTAATTTTTGTTGTCAGAACGGGCCATCCGTTCGAACCGAACGGTTGAACCGTCGGTTGTCAGAACGTTATTAACAGCATTTATCAATAATAGTAAGTAATTATACTATTTAATTAAATAATCATTAATGATAGTTTTAATAATATTATTTAGTTATTTTTAATATAACGGTAATTATTAAATTTATGAATAGGATTTATTAACAATATTCATTAAATTAATAATTACCAAAATTAAATTAAATTAACAGTATTTATTAGTAATAGTCAGTAATTATAATATTTTATTAAATAATCAACAACAATACTTTTAATAACATTTTTAATTATTTTCAATATAACAATAATTACTATATTTATTAACAGTATTTATAATTTTAATTTAAAGTAAGATTTATGTAAATATCTATTTATTAATAATATTTATAATAACAGTAATTATTAATTATAATCACTAATTATATATTTATTAAATTACTGTAATAATCAGTAATTATATTATTACCAGTAATTAAAGTAAAATTTAAGTAAATATCTATTTATTAACAATATTTATAATAACAGTAACCATTAATTATAATCACTATTTATATATTTATTAAATTATTGTAATAATCAGTTATTATTATTATAGTAATTAATTAGTATTTATTGTTATTAATTAACAATTAATTAGCAATTAATTACTAGAAATGAGTGCATGCTATTACAATATTAATTACTGTAATAAATTAATAATTATTATTATTAGTAAGTAATTAATTAATAGTTATTATTATTAATTAATATTTAATTACTGAAAATGGATGCTCTCACGGGGAATCTACTCGCACGAGTAGATTTCATTTCCTAAGTGCAGAACACCTATATCCTTTTAATATATATATATATATCACATTTCCATCCATTAAATGCTTGTTTGAAATATAAAATCAGTTGATGTGAGTTCTTGAATTTATTGCAATGCTAGCTGGTGTGTTCGCATTTTATTGATGGGTCTCCAGCAAAGCGAGTTCAATCTTACCATGTTTTCTCGTGTTAGTGTCCTATTAACAAAACATAAAATATTTTAATTCTATCATTTCAATTCTAGCAAGATGGATAAACTTTAGTTGAGAGTATGGTTCAAAGTATATATCAATACACTTTTGCTTATCGGCAGAGGTGTATCGATATTTAGACCATGCTTCTTTTAATTTTTTAGCTTATTTTTTCAAGTTTCAGCTTTAAATATACTTATATATATTATTTAAAAATAAGGGTTTTCAAAAAACACTTATAAACAGGTATATCAAGGATAAAATGATGCAATACGATACATCTAATAAAGGATATATTGTATTGATACTTTAAAACTTGGTTCAGAATAGATACTATCACAATTCTTACCTCAACTTCTGTTTCTCTTATTTTCAATCAAACCAAATACAACCTAAGACTATATCTAGTTTGAAGGAAAAAATTAAAGAAAGGAAGAGAAAGGTAAAGAAATCTATATAARGTTTATAGTAAAGTTTTTTAACCTTTTCCATCAAACCAAATACAGCCTAAGAGTTCACTTTTAATTCTATTCACTATGTGGACCATCATCCGATCAGAAGGCACAACCATGTAACCCTTGTTATCATGTGAAGTTCAAGATTCTTCCAAACATAACTACATAAGCAACGTGACTTTGTCATCCACTGTCAGAAGTAGCGTTCTCCCTTTGTTCATGTAAAATAATGGCCAATAATACTCTTGCCTCAGTTGTCTGTTTCACCCTATGGGCTCAAAACTGTGGACTGTTTAACGGCTTCTAGGCTTTTCCAGAGTTCACTGTATCTTTCAAATGAAGCCTTCAACAAAGTCTATGTGCCCGTTTGGAAGGGTTGGAGTGCAGCAGTTTATTATGGCTTTCCAAGGTGATGGACCTCATATGAACAGCCTATAAATGATGTTTTATGAAGAAACAGAGGTTAAATCTGATGCAGTTACTATTAAAATCAATCTTAGATGTATTTATTTAAAAAATAAGTTTTCAAAACAAGGGTTTATTTGAATAAATATTTATAAGCATTTAATGAAAAATCAATTTGGGCATTAATTTTAAATAATTATTTATTTTAAGAATAAATATTTATTTTGAACTTATTTTTCAAATATAAATAAATACTTATTTATATTCTTTGATCCAAAATATAAACACTTATTTTTTAAACACTCCCATAGCTTAAGTGCTCATCCAAAAGCTGAATCAGGTTAACTGAATCTTGAGCTCAGCCCCAGAAAGATTTAAGAAGATATAAAAGGAGACGATAGAAAAAAACAAAGTCGAAGTATTTCAACCAGAGAAAAAAGAAAGAGGGAGTTGTGGACAAGCACTTATCATTTATCAACACAGCAAACAGACCGTCAATGGACCTTTCAAAAGAAGATGCCTTATCAATTAATTATCCCCTTCTAGAACAAAGACAACCTTGTCAGACACAAACGATGGGCGATCTTATCTCTTCTACTGCTTTAATCCTTCATGTCCGACCAAAATCAGTACAATTTCTGCATTAACTTTTTCCTTTTTTATTTATTTTAAAAATATTTATCCATATTTAGAGCCCTCCAAAACAAATAAATATACAACAATAATTAGTGGAGGAAATTGCATCATCCGCTACTGATTGATGCTGACCAATTCTTTTTTATTTATTTAAAAATATTTTTATGTATTTTAGTTCTCCACTCCAAAATAAATAATATACTAGGCTGGTGTTAAAACTGAATTGGTTGCAAGTAAGTTTAAATAATTTTGATTTTTTAACACAATTTTCAAAAGATTAGGAAGCAAGGCTGACGTGAATAACTACATTTTAAATACAAAAAATAGATATAAACAATAAAAAAAAGTGAAGGAAATTTAATCATTCAAAAGATTAATTAATTAAACCCATATGAGTCCCCATTTAGTTGATGCAAGCTAATCAACTCTTTTTAATTTTACAATCATATTATATATAAAACGAGAGCAGCAGGATACCATCTGAAGCTTATTTTAGTTTTTCTTTTTTCTTTTTGATTTTTGGTAGACCATATAATATTCTGTAAGTGTAGAAGTGTTAGATTAAGACAAAGAGGTGGTTGGCGTCAAAAAGAGAAAAAAAAAAAAAAACAAAAGAAAAAAACAAAGAGGTGGCAAGTTTATCTCCTAGTTGATTTAATATAACGGCTGGCGCCCATTTTTTGTGTATTATTACTTTCTCTTTATTTGAATTGTCTAGGGCCCATTGGCCCACCAAGTCTAAAACCATCAAACAAGGACGAGTTGAGGACGGCAAGCGTAGACTTTGTTGGCTAGTTAACCGGATTCAACCGGGTCAGAAATCATTTAATAAATGAATTTTGATCGATCAAAACCCATCGATTAATTTTAATAAATAATATCTCATTGCTATCATATTTATAATTTCAGTTGATTGTTCAAAAGTTTTTCACATATTATATCTTTCTTATATCATAGTCCAACCCTTTCTTGATCTGATTGTTTAGAAAAGTCTAAAGCATCACAAATCTTTCCACGTGGCAGCGTGAATTTCGGGCTCTATGGGGCCTTGGGTTCTATCTTTGTGAGTTTATTCAAGTCAGAATCTCCTTCTGGAAGGTTTTCATGAATTCTAGTCAAGCTGAATTTAGTGTTGACATGAAAATGGAGAATAAAGTGATGGATGGTTCAGATTAAACATGCAATGGAAGAAATAGGTGGATGGGTCCTGCCTGATAGGTGGTTGTTATATACACAAAATACCGGGTTCATTATACCGGAGCAGCGTCTCTTTCTTACCCGAGTCGTGTTGCTCCGCTCCCACGCTTTGCATATGGTCGGTGTCGTGTCTATCTCTTCTTCTTCGTATGTGGTCCCAGCCCCCAGGCTCTCTCTCTCTACCTATCTATAAAGTGTTGCTTATTACCGAATTCCGATCATAAACGTCTCTTACCTCTCTTTCTGTCACTCTTCTATGGAGATTTGCTTCTTCGGTTTGTTAACTTGATTAAAGTTTTAGGGCTTTTCAGAAGTTTCTTTCACTAAATTCTTTCTGTTCTTCGTTCTCCGATTGTCTGTTGTGTGATTTTGAACTCTTTTAAGGTTTAGAGGGATTGTTTGATGGACAGTTGTGTCTCCTACAATAGAATCCCTACTGCTGAAGCTTTACCCGCTGTGGTGAAGTCTGCAGGCGATTTTAAGCGATTCTCCAAGCTTGGATCTTCATTTTCTTACAATTTCGGCTTCCCTTCACAGGTGAGGATTCAATTGCTGGTTGATGCGTTTTAACGTTAAAAAAAACTTTTGGGTGATTTTATTTACTGTTGAAGTGGATTTTCTATTGGAGGCTAATTTGATCTGTTTTATCTATTGTTTGCAGAGAGCGGCTAAGGCCTGTGGGTCTCAACATATTGGGAGAGGACTAAGGTGTGGGAAGAGGTTAATTCGAACGGTGGTGGTTGCGGCTGCAAGCGCAGAGTCTAGTCACTGCGAATTTAGGAGTTTACATACGCCTTTTGAGCCCTGTTCGTCTGCTGGGAAGTTTCTTAGTGGTGTATTGCAAAACCAGAGACACCTCTTCAATGTCGCGGTGGCAGAGACACTAGACGAATTGGCGGCTGGTAGAGATGGGGCTACCGCACGCAGGGACCTTAGTATAGGTTCGTCGGAATCGTGTCTTCACAGGTCAGTTTCTGTAAACTTCGAATTTTTTCCTTCATAGTTATACATATCTTTGTCTTTAGCTAAAACTTCTTTCATTCATTGCTTTTATGCCTTATTCTGCAACAATTGGTACCGATTTAAGGTTCCTTTTGAGCGGTTTCAACTCTTACTGTAGTTGCTACATTTTTTTTGGATATTCACATACTTAAAACTGTTCTTCCATGGAGGTTTTGTTGTACTTTTGCTTGAGAGAGAGTGAGAGAAAATTCTTTTATTCAGTTCCGTAATCCACTGATCTTGAATGGGTTTGGCTTTTATTTCCTTCTATACAATCTAAGAGGCGGTCTGTTAATGAAACCACGATAGACAAGAAAATAATCCTCTCTCACCCATTTTAGATTAACCTTCGAGAACATTTTCTGCCTTTTACCATATACGTTATTTATTCATTTTTAGTTCTTAGTGTGGCAACTTGTGTGGAAGAAGCTTATGTCCGAATTTTTGGAAGAACAATGCGAGCAGAGGAACGGAGGACCTGGTAGAAGATGAATGTGGAAGGGTAAGAAAAATTTCAGCTTAGGGCTTCATTTACCAGCGTTTCATAACCAAGAAAATTGGGCTGAGAAGACTGCAATGTTGGACAACACTAATTGGTGCAGGTCGGTTAAGAAAATGATGTTCCGAGTTCTGACTGCTTTAATCAGGATTGTAACTGTTTAGCTATTACTTTAATACGAGAGAGAATAGGCCATTAAATTTGTTGAGGAAGAAAGCTTAGCCAGAGAGGGGATGGAGAGGGTAAGAGATCACAATATGTCAAGAGCCCAATAAAGATCTTGAAGGATGTATTGAGGTGACGAGAGACAGAAGGTTGGCTACATGATCCCAGGTGACCTTCTGGCGTGTTGTCATTCTTCCTATGGCTCTGGAGTTCTTCTCGTATTTCCATGTTTTTGGGTCAGAAAAGTTTCTCACCTTGTACTCTTAGTTCAGGTGGACAAAATCAACCTTAGGGAATCATGCATGACATGTTTGGTCCTTGGTGCAACAGTTTCACCAGAGAACTCACTGATATCCAACTTCTAAAGCCTCTTGACCATGTCTCTTAAATGCCAATGACAGTGGCACCATTTTTCACTTTCTAGTCCTCAATGACAAGAAATGTACGTCTTTACAGCATTCAGTTAACATTTAAAAGCTTCTGATTTATTCTTCTTAGAAAGTCAACAATATGCATATCAATTTTGCCAGGTGCAGCAAGGTCCCAGCAAACAGGGCAACAACCTATTACTCTGAACTGACAAACCTAATATGAATACCCAGTGGTGTTCCACATATTGTTCTTGAAACTCTTTCAGTTGAACTGGAAAATTAAGCTTCGGATCTCAATCCCCAGCAGTAAGCCCATATTCTTCATGTGGATCTGGATATTCTTGTTACTTAGCTAGTATCTTCTTTAACGGTGACTCTTCTGTATTTCAAGAACAATCATTTTCATCGCAGTTTCTAAGTATTTCTGGCCTGCAGTTTGACATAACCATCTGTCTACTTTGCCAAGATATAATGTTTATATGACCTGGGAAACTTCTCAATTTAAAGTGAGATTAGTGGTCGTAGATTTATTGAGTGAGAGAGAGACAACTGCAAAAGTTGGTGCTATAGTATCTTATGGCATTGAGAAATTTTCTTGTTGGAGGTGTTTTCCTTGTTGATACAATAATGGTATATTCTTCGAAACAAAGCTTTAGCAAGGCAAATCTGGAGACTGACATTATGATTCTAATGAATGCCAGGAGAATTGCTGAACTGAAGGAATTCGAGTGCCAAATTGCTGTTGAAGATGTCATGTACATGTTAGTAGTTCACAAATTCTCTGAGATCAATGTGCCCATGATCCCAAGGCTCTCTAGATGTGTTAGAAATGGCAAACTGGAGGTATGGCCATCAAAAGACCAAGATCTTGAGGCCATTCACAGTTTAGAAGTAGTGGAGATGGTGAAGGAACACGTTGGCACCATCATTGGCTGGAGAGGAAAATCTAGATTAACAGACAATTGGAGCACAACTCAGATTCACAAGCTCCAGCTTGGCCGAGTCTACGCTGCCTCCGTCATGTATGGCTACTTCCTCAAATCGGCCAGCTTAAAACACCGCCTAGAGTTGAGTCTGGCTCTAACCCACCAAGACCTTCCACTTGGCCATGGGATCCGGATTCCAGTTACAGAGTTACAGCTCCATGGATTAGAGAATCTTGTTGTCCTTGGCCGCTCAACTGAAACACGATCCACTTCCTTGTGTCAAGGGACAGGAAGGCGTGTAGATGGACATAAGAAGTTAAGAAGTTATGTGATGGGGTTTGACTCTGAGACGCTACAGAGATGTGCCAAGCTCAAATCTCAGGAAGCAGCGAATCTGATCGAGAAGCATAGTTGGGCTCTCTTTGGAGATGGGAACACAAGTTCCCTGGAGAACGACAAGGTGCTGGTTGTCACGTTTTCTAGCCTAAAGAGGTTAGTGTTGGAAGCCATTGCTTTTGGTTCCTTTCTTTGGGACGTTGAAACATATGTTGATAGGGTGTACAGATTGAAGGAGAACTGATTGGATTAAAAGATTGTGTAAATGAGAAAGCTGTAATAATGCTGCAATGGTTAACATGGTGATTTTGTTTTGTAATGTATTATAAGAACTGTAATTTCTGTTGGCAAAGCTCCCTATCTGTTGCCAAAATCCCCAAAATGAGGTTGTATATTACATTGTAGAAGCAATGTCAGAAAACTGAGCAAGCATTTAATACTGGTCCCTTTCAACAGGAATAACCCAAAACTGTGAAGTAAAAAAAATTGGTTTTCCCAAATAACCACACTAAATGGAACAAAGGGACCGCCAAAGACAAAACCCAACTGATGAAGACTTAAATTGCTTTACCACCTCGGCCACCTCTACACCTCTTCTCCTAATGGTCCTAGAGCCCGAGCCTCTTCTTGTCTTCACCCACTATTCTACATATATGTTCCCAAGCCTCTTATTGTCTTCTTCACCCACTATTCTACATATATGTTCACAAGCTTAATCTTTTTTTTTCAGTCCAGAATTCCTCTATATTTGTAAGCACCCACATCTTCACATCACTTTAGGTGCTCTGAATGGTTTCGACTTTTGGTCACAGATAATAGATTGTACAACACTACAACTTAAGATGGAATAAGCTTATTCTTTTTCAATTTTGGAGCTTCTTGATTTGGAATTGTTATGATTTATGTTTGTTTCACTAATATATGTTTTATTTGGATGTTAGTTTAGTAACATCTGCTCTCTCTTTCTCTCTTATATATATGCAGAAACAAAAATTGTAGAGAAAGATGAAAAAAAGAGGAGGTTTTTGTGAGAAGAGAAAAGAAGAAAAAGAATGAGAGCGCAATCAAATTTGGCCGCCCCTTCATATTGTTATTTATACTTTAAGTGAAAAATATGTACAAAGACTAATATGATTTTATAGGGCGGTTAACAAAAAAAAAAAAAACTCAATAGAAGACTTAGAAACGCCACGTCCCAATAGGTATGTTGTGGTCCCCACTCCCTAATTAAACAAATTAACCAATAAATCTGCACAAATTCCTCAACACTACATTTAAAGTTGGAAGTAAACGTCACATATTTTCAACTTGCATAGGTTATGTTCAAGATTGTTCTTTGTGACCCCTTTGGTGAAGACATCAGTCAACTGTAACTTAATGGTGATATAAGGCAGACAAACTTCTCCGATTGTCACCCTTTTTTTATGAACTATTAATTTCAATTTGTTTTGTTTTGTTATGCTAAATTGGATTGTGGGTAATATTGATTGCAACTTGTTTGTCACAATATGACATTATTGGCTTCTTTGCATTTATCATTCAACAAGGATCTAGCCCAAAGTAATTTTGTGACATCATGAGCCATAGATCTATATTTGGCTTTTGAACTTGACCATGCCACCGTTGATTGATTTTTATTTTTCCATGAAATTAGATTTCACCCCACAAAGGTACACATCCCTAATGTTGATCTCTTGTCATTTAGGCAACTTGCCTAATCTACATCTTTAAATGACTCTAGTTTCAAATTCCCATTATTTGCGAATAAAATTCCTCTATCAGGAAGTTTTGTTAAGTATACAAGTATCCTATCAATGGCTTCCTAGTGCTGAATTCGAAAAATATGCATATATTGATCCGCAACACTCACAACATAGAAAATGTTTGGGTGTCTCATGCACAAGTATAGTAGTTGGCCTACCATCCTTTGATATTTCCCCACATTCTTAAGCAACTCACCATCTAGAGCATTAATTATATAGCTTGGTTCAATAGGAGCATCAGTTGGTTAAATTCTTAGCTTCCCAATTTCCTACAGTAGGTTCAATACATACTTTTTCTAAGAGATGAATATCTCATGCTTGGATCTTATAACCTCAACCCCTAGGAAATATTTTACTCAGATCCTTAATCTCAAATTCTTGTTGTAGTGACTTATTGAGTGTATTAATCTTCCTTAGATCATTCCCTATAATAATTATATCATTCATAGACATAATCAGTATTGTCATAAGTGATTTTCTTCTCTTAACAAAGAGATGTGATTTGATTGGGTTTATGTGTATCCAAAACAAATCAATGCCCCCTAAACCTATCAAACCATGCCTTACGTGACTATTTCAAACCATATAAAAACTTCTTCAGTTTATAAACTTTTCCCTCACCAATATTCTCATAGAAACCAATTGGAATGTTCATATATACATTCTCTTGCAAATCACCATTAAGGAATGTATTTTTAACAACAAGCTGGAAGAACGGCTATTAGTAATTAGTTGCTAAAGATAAGAGGATCTGAACTGAGTTCATCTTAGCTATTGGTGCAAAGCTTTTCAGATGATCTAAACCATAGTTTTGTGTATATCCTTTTGCAACTAACATTGCCTTGTACCTCTCTATGCTGTCATCAATCCTGTACTTTACAATGAATACCCATCTATACCCAATTATCTACTTTTCCGTAGAAAGATCAACTATCTCTCATGTCTAGTTCTTAATCAAACTTTCATTTCTTCTATCATAGTTATTCTCCACTCGGGTTTGGAGAGAGCCTTATTAATATTCATATATATAGGCACAAAATCTAGGAAAGAAAGGAAAGCATGGTAAGAAGGTGATAGGGCAGTATAGGAGAGAGATTGTGTGAAATGCAATGGGTTGTACACTTTCTCTTTTTCTTGCGAAGTGTAGTGAAAAAATCAAGATCAACTGCAACGTCAAAGTTAGGTATAGAAACATCATCAATGGAACTAGAAACAATAATAGACTCAAGGGAAATACTTGGAACTATATCAGACAAACCTAGAATCTTAAATGGACCAATGGAGAGTGGTGCAGGTTCTTCTATTAGAGCATATGTGGACTTAACCCTCTTTCGTTGGTGTTGAAAGAACTGATTGATTGTAGTGAATCGAGTAGTGGGATTGGAGGAACTAATGGTGGAGGAATAGGTGGAACTAATGGCAGAGCTAATGGACTAGATGAAGGAATAGGAAGAAGAACAAACTATGAGTTTTCCTCCCCAAAACACAGAGAACTAATAAAGAAAGAGAATATAGACTCAAAAAAGATAAAATCTACCCCTTTTGGTTTTGAGCATATTGCTATGGTGTATAAGCACGAGTACTCTGATGAATCTCCCCATGGTGCAAAAAATATGTAACCAAATCATTCTTGAAATATTTTTTGGCATTATCTGATTTGAAATTTAACCAATGACGTTATAGTAAAATAATACATTTAAAAAAAGTTAAAAAGTTACAAAGAATCAAAAATATAAAAATTGTAAAAATTTGGACACATCTAATATTATATATTAATTATATCAAATAAAACTTAAGTATGATAAACAAACGTTATTTATATAATGTAGTTGAAATATATAATTTAAAATTGATCTGAAAGCAAAGCTATTTTCCTATCTAGATGGTGGGTCAATGATCAAACTTTTAAAATAAACTCATGGCGATGTCATAATTGAATAATAAACATTTAAAAAAGATAGAACACAAAAATTGAAAGATATACAATTTTGTCAAAAACATTTGGTGACATTTCTAATGTTATATATTCATCATATTAAATAAAAAATTGTTAAAATAAAAATTATTTTTATTTATGATGGAAATGGAATACAAAATTAAATAATAATAATAATAATGGTGATGATAATAATTGTTATTGTAATTTAAAGTTTCAATGTGCAAGGCACGTCCACATTTACTAGTAATAACAAAAGTTGAGAACGTCACACCCTTAAAAGAAATTATAAGAAAGTAATAATAGCTTGCACCTCCATGTTAAGGGGAAGAATGAATAAAGCACTTCAATCATTTTCCCTTTTTAGGTGGCTAAGCTAGTTGGTGGATTAGTTATATGATCTAAAGGATCATGAAGGAAAGTGAGTTAGTGAAGCAAATGCATTAGGTAAGTGGTGTAATAAGCTGGCCTTAGAAGTTAAAGCGTCTAATTGAACTAGAAATATAAAGATCCATCTCCTTGGTCAACTCATGGTTCAACATATTGATACGTTACATTCTCAAAAAAATCACTTATTATTAATTCAATGGGGTGATACATACCGAGTCCTAGGATGTTAGGTATCAACCTCTTCCAAAATATAATATTTAGGAATGATATTAAGCTTCCGAAGCCAAAATAAAAAAAAAAGAAAAACAAAAGGAATGATATTAAGCTTTAAACATGGCCATATTCCCTAGCACCTGGTATTTTACATATCTGTAATTTGAAGCTTGGTCGTTCCATTGCTACCTTCTCGTCATGAAGGTTCCCCGTTCTGAATAACATGGAGATTGTTTGTCTTCGGCTAAGATGGGGAAAACTTACTTGTTAATCCCTTCCCCTCCCATTTATCAACTATAGGGCGTATAAGATTTGATTCGTGGCGAATTGAGATTTGAGGGCAACATTTAGTTGGATTCAAACATAAGTAACTGTTTGGTAGATGGACAAGCTAAACAGGGGACTAATAGATATCAAATGTATCTGGGGATTATTTCTAAGATGGATGATATGTAATTATTGATATAAGTGGATTGTGGGAGTAGAAAGCCTTATGTGCTGATTTCGGCCAAGCTTCTTGTGAAAGGAAGAATAGAAAGTTGGGGATTTCAGCAAGAGACAGAGGAAAGGGAAGAAAAGAGAAGAAGGTCGA